GTTTATTCAATTCTTTACGAGAGAGAGAGAGAGAGAGAGAGATAATAGAGAGAGATGCTCTCTGCAATGCCATGGAATTTTCCAATCTTTGTCTTTTCAAGATGGGTTTCAGTTGTAAAATGACAGGATACGAATGCTGCTCAGAGTTACAATGACATTCAGAATGATTGGCTTCAGGCAGGCGTGAGACAGCCTCCTGTCCAAGCTTTCATGGACGGTATGATAGCAAGCACAAATACCATCATAGAGGCAAAATGGACCTTGAAGGAGATAAAGGAAATCATCAGTTTGGTCCGTATGAAGACCAAGCCATCAAAGTCGTGGAGTCTCATATTGAAAAAGGGGAAGTCACAGGAGAAAAGTTCAGGGTTGGAGATTATTCCATCAGTCTCAGAGAAAACCAGTCAGGTGCCTGGGAAAGTTCTTTGATGATTCACTGGGTGATAAACAGAATATTAGTGACACTAGTAATCAAATGGAGAACTGGATGAACACCATAGACAAAAACGCCTTACCAGGAAAATACAAGACAGATATACCATCATGGCATACTTCCACGAATTCTTTGGCCTCTACTTGTGTATGATGTGCCAATGACAGCAGTTGAATAGATGGAGCGACGGATCAGCGGGTATATTAGAAGATGGCTCACGGTTCCCAGAAGCTTTAGCAGCATTGGTTTATACAGCACAGGAACAAAGCTGCAATTACCACTGACGTCAATTGTTGAGGAATTCATTGTCACCAATGTCAGGCAGTTTCTGAGGTTACGTGACAGTAATGATTCCAAGGTACGGGGGCAATTTAAGAGTCAAGATCAAGACGGGCAGAAAGTGGACAGCAAAGAAGATAGTACAAAAGGCAGAGTCTGAGACAAGCTGTGGGAAGTGTGGCAGTAGGCAGGCAGGGAATAGGAATAATACCATCGACAAGATGGGGTACATCATCAGAAGTGGAGAAGAGCAACTTGTGCAGAAGGAAATGCACAAAATGGAAGAGCACACAAGAATGGTGAAGGAAGTTGGTATGAAGAAGCAGGAAGCTGGTTAAACTGGGAAGGAGCTCAATAGAAGAAGTTATTTTGGAACGAGATGTGGATAACAGAGCCTCAGAGACTACAGTTTCAGCTTAAGTCGGTTTACGACGTGCAAACAACCCCGACCAATCTGACAACATGGGTCATGAGGGACGACCCAAACTGCAATCTTTGTGGTAGACCAGCCAACCTGGAACATATCCTGTCTTCATGTTCAGTAACCTGAACAGATGGAAGATATACATGGAGACATGACAGAGTTCTATCTGTTATTGCAGATGTGCTGTGAAAAGCAAGGAAGAAGCCTTGGAAGATCATGGAAGGCTTAAAGTTTGTAAACTTTGTGAAGGCTGGTGAACAGATGAGTCGTGTTGGGGGAGTGGAAGGAGGTAGACTGTTGGGGACCGCCAGTGACTGGGAAATGCAAGCAGATCTGAACAGTCGTATGCAGTTTGCATAGGAAATAGCAGCTACATGTACTAATCAGAGACCAGATATTGTTATTTGGTCTAATTGAATAAGCCCATGAGCGGAAAATGAATGAATAGCAGGATCTGGTTGCAGACTATCAACAACGGCTCTGGATCAATATTATGCTGTCTTCCAGTGGAAGTTGGATGCCGTGGTTTTGTAGGGCAATCTATATGGAGGGCTTTGCGGATTGTCGGTGTTACAGGCACTGAGAGAATGCAATTCATTGGACGTCTGGAGAGAGAGGCAGATATGGCATCCATTTGGATATAGAAGAAGAGAGAACATTGGAAAGTGGAACACTGACTCTGTGTATTTGCTTATGAATGTAAGGTGTTGTAGTGAAGGCGGAGAGATGAGTGGTTGCGGGCTGGGATTTGATCACCCAGTCGACGTACCTCTGGTGGTTAATTTCATTAAAAAAAACGTTGGTTACAGGTAGGGTCAGATTATCCTCTGAGACAACCATTATGGAAGATTAGTATTTGTTGATGTCCTTTTTCATCCTCTAACATTCATCACCACGCATCAGAACAGATGATACATAGATACATGTACAATTTGGTCTAAGTGGGTCTATGGATACTTCTGATTTCTTTATCTTCTCAGCTTGATGAAGGATCCTCTGGCTTTTCAATTTTGTTAGTATGAAAAGTAGGGCAGACACCACATATCCTTGTCTCCCTCCTGATTTCAAAAGAAAGCTCGTGTTTGAAGAGGTATCGATAAAACATTTCAATTCTACAAGTAAATCTTTTATCGTCAAATTAGATGGTATACCACAGTACCTTAGTATCTATCGAACTATCTTTATTGTCATTGCCAGTCAATATACTTATAAAATTAAAATCCATTTTAATTCTACCGATTCCAATATATTTCAAAGTATCAATAGTTCACTTTATGTGGTAAATGCATATCATACATTTTCAAAGTACAGTACCATAAGCTCGTTAATATACATGAAAGTTGTCGAACTCCTGAGTCTCAAAATTCAAAGTTTATGAGATAAAACTCTTTTGAGTACTTTGAAAAAGATCATGTGGGGTATAACGCTTTTGTTGGTGCTCATTTTATAAACTTGGGCATACCTCTACATTCTCGAAAAATATGCTGTAGTACATGTATATCGGCATTATAAAGTATTTTGAAAAAGTTAGATTGAAAGGTCCGTCATCGGTTACCATGGCATTTTACAAATACAATAGTGTAATGCAATACATGCACGAAATACCAATTAACAATTACAGTTGATAGCTATTTACATTCAAATGTCAAATCGATATATCCCAGGTAACTTGAAATAAAAAAACAAACAAAAGACTGCTATGTCTCTTTCATATTTGGGTGTTTTAATGATGATGTACGATAAAGTACAACTAGTAACTAGATTGTATGACAAATGAGGTGACCAGTTTTCCTACCGTCAACTTTTCTATTTTATTTGATAATATTTCGCTTTCACTGTCCAGAATATCATTTTTATGTCTCCAAATACACTCTCTTCTCAAGAGTATGCTCTACGCACGATTATATATTTTTTTGACCGAGGTAGCTCTACTGACAAATTGAACTTGCAGACATTTCAACATCGTTGTCACACAAGTCAGTATTTTGTAAATTGTATGCTCGTTATAATAACCTTGAAAGCAAACTACTGAGTCGTATCTGGGCCGACATGTTTTATACCTTACATTAGGTCTTTGTTTTTGTAATTTTCAAGACGGAATATTCCATGTAACTGAAAATCACTGGGCTTACGATGAGTGTCACTCGACGACACAGAATGCTTTCTTATGGCACGACAAATTCACAAAAATGAGATAAACCTAGTTTCACATTTGATAAACTAGGTTTATCGACTGTAAACTATAGTTTACAAACCGTAAACTATAGTTAACGATTCGATTCGTTAAGTATAGTTTTCATCTGTAAAACTATATTTAACGGTTGTTAACTATAGTTTACAATTAATCTAAGTTTATCTGTCTGTAATAAGCGTTAACAATAGATTTTGTTGATAAACATAGATTCACGTTTGTAAACTATAGTTTACAATCGTAAACTATAGTTAAGAATTGTTAATCATATATCACAAATCGTGAAACTATATTTATCAGATCGTTAACTATAGTTAACGGTTTATAAACTATAGTTTACAAATCGTGAAACTGTATTTATCAGATAATCTATGTTTTGCAATCGCAAATGATTGTTTTCGGTGTTAAATATAGTTTACGGTTGTGAAACATAGATTATCGCGTTAACTATGTTTTACAGATGTGAAATATAGATTAACGTTGTTAACTATAGTTTACGGTTTGTAAACTATAGTTTACAACCGATAAACCTAGTTTATCGATTGTGAAACTATGATTATCTCATTTTTGTGAATTGGCGTGCCATACTTTCTCTTTGAGAAAAACCCATGATAATTCACTGGATTTGCCAAAGAAGCCAATACCATATATTATAAATTTTCAAATCTCTTTTTATTTGCATTTTTACAATTTCAAGACAATTTTAGCCGGGCTTATTGCTCAAAGAGCAACTGCCGGCTTCTGTGATCCTGTTCAAGGCAGGATGTTGACCCCATAGTCGCCATTTTAAAGTTACGTACAAAAATATAGTTCTTACGTACTCTCAACCGCTTTTGAGATAATACAAACAATAAATAAAGCAACAAAAATAAAACGAAATTTTATCTATATAAAACAAACATAAGTAGTAATGACTTTGAAAACTTCATAAGTCAAAGAACGTAGTTCATTAGCGTAAGGATTTTTGATAATCAGTGTTACCGTAGTTCTCTACACGTACGAGGTAAAGCAGGAGAGGGAACCAGACTGGCCTGTTTGTTCACGTTCAGCTGCGGTACCAGATTAATTCTGATTCTGACAAAATCGGACCGTGGTATTAGGATTGAAAAACTCACTGTCAGTGTCTTATCATTTATATTGATAGTTTTAAAATAATTTTTTCATCAGAATATAAACGTGATTCATGTAAGAAATCCATTCTACTCTGTAAATGAGCCCGGCTCTCTGTACTTCTGAGTACTTTGATTACCCTTAAACCTAACCTACTAGTATTTTTATGATTATATATAAACAAAAATTCATATAAAATACGCTTATACTAGTATCTGCTAGTATACTAGTATTTATTGTATTCAGTATTTTATTAACAGAATCAATGGTAATATTTTTCATGAAATTACGATTTCTTGTAAGCATATGACAAATTCACTCAAGTTTCTGACGTTTTAATTTCAATTCTATTTAATATTTTTCATCATTTGTATGAACCTTTATACAGGAATATTCCTCAAACAAAGGGGTTTAGAAACATGTACGACTAATATCAAATAAAGCTTCAGCATGTTTTTCCTCCCACAAAAATTATGAGATATATATATTATCTCGACTTAACAGGAATGTTTGTATTCGGTTATAAAGGACATTTATTCAACAAATTAGTGTAGAATGACAATTTTCACCTTGTTACTCACGTAGTTATGAAAATAACATTAAACGGGCTGCTTCGTCTCTATGGTAACAACGTTAGAAAGTCATGAAAGAACCCACAGAAAAGGCTGAAGGGAGAACTAAAAAGTAAGACTTTTTTTAATATACATGTATGTGGTACCTGTTTGTGTTTTTATGTGTTTTATGTTACTAGTGTCACTAAATAGATTTTTTAAATCACTTTACATACTTCATTAATAGAAAAAGAGCTTCGTGTTATTCTGATTTTTAATGCATGTTTATCCAGCAAGAATTAAAAAATTTTGGAATGAGGATCGTTGCTCTGCATTTTTTAAAATTATTTTTAAATGTTTTTTTTTTAATTTATCTAATTTTTACTATGTGATATCATGGGGGATGAAATAATATGAAATATTGAAAACCCTGCAAGCAGAATCACTGTTACTTTGTTTAAAAATATTTGCATGCCATGATATTTCCCTGTGATAGAAACCACATAAAATTGTAACAAGCTTGTAGGTGTATTGCACCTGCATTGTTAAGCTAGAAAATTGATTTTATTATACAATATATGAATCTTTTTGTATAATAATTTTCTATTGTGACTGTCAGGAAAATGTAATGAAGCCAACAATAAGCTCGTGCTCGTTTTACAAAACAAGGAAATTCAAACATATTGGCTACCCGATACCTTCAATTGACTTGCTTTCTAAGAAAATCTTTAAAACATTTAATAATATTGGAATATATAACTTTTTAAAGACTTCTAAAAAGAACTTGAGAATTTCAAAAAATCTTTTGGCTTTTGGATTTCTCTTTCAGACAGGACAGACATGGGGTGCACACTGTCTATTAAAACTGACAAATGTCCGTCACCGTTTGACCCTGACGTCTATTTGATACGCCAACCATCAACACCTATAGAGAAAAAAGTGCCACTAGAAATCCGGAACAAGATTTCCAACTCCACAAACCCCTGCGTCCGGCGATCTCCGCAGCGGAAGTGGATAAGGAGCGTTTCTGTCATGGATACTAGGTGTTCCCTTACAACACGTGACAAATACCAGATCATCAAGTCCTGGAAGGCCATTGCCAGAGATCTACACTCCACAGGGGTTACCATGTTTCTTCGGTAACAAATAAATCATTTCTCGGTTTATTTAGGTTTAGAACTTCATTGGGCGTTCGTTAGAATTTAATGAATGATGCCCACTTTACAAAGAGACCTGATAAGGATTTAGGTATTTGTCTTCCTGTCCACATTTATGATGCTAGGAAATAAAACATTTTCAAAATCAGATTGCTTAAATTTCCAACCCTTCCAAATAATATACTATGATTTTGTTAGTTTATTGTGCATTTAGCTTAAACTTATTTTTAAAAAAAATCGCTTAAATATGACATAAAACGATTACTAATCTGACAAAAAAAAAATAGGATGGACAACCTAGATTGGTGGAGAGCTACAGTGCTACCCATTAAAAGGGTATATTTATTGCGCATAAAAAAGGATGCTTTTCTCGATTTATTTCTCCGTTTATTTTTGCTGCCTTCTCAAAATTGCCCCTAGCATATTCTTTTACTGCTTCCATAACAAAACATTTCCAAAAAATGTTATTTTGCAGTTAATTTGTTGTGAAGGAAGATAAAGAATATGTTAGAAAAACACGGTTAGTAATATTTTGAGAAACAAAGCACTTTTTGTTCATAACAAATATACATTTTTTTTCAGTTGATGGCACATTAGCTCTCTGGTCGTCCATCCTATTTTTTTTTCACAGCAGCGAGCTACAAATCTGCATTTAATTTTAAGAACGATATTTAATAACCTATTCTGAAGAATGTACTGTTTAGCTACATGGTTAGTTTGAATTACGTTTAAAATATGACAATATTTGGAGTCGTTGATGTCTGAAAATATAGCTATTGTACTATCCTTTTCAGCTCGGTGAAAGATGGTGTCATAGGAGTCACAGTTGTCAAATATGGCTTTTACAAATATTCATGCTCAAAGTGCAGCATTCGTATTGTCTTTATTAGCCAATGTTGCAATTAAGATAAAATGATTTATCAGTTACAATAATTGTCACCGTCTTAATTACATCAGGGATCGTTATAAAATATCGTACGCGTATTCGGGGTTATTTTTTTAAATTTTGATGCTTTTAGAATATCAATTCCATTTCAGAATGTTTCAAGAGAATGACGACTTACGTAAATTCTTTAAGTTTGGCGACTACAAAGAATCTTCCGACCTACTACAGAACAAAATTTTCCTGAACCACGTGACTTTAGTGATGCATACTTTTGACGAGGCCATTTGTTCAATGGGCGACACCGACTACGTAATGGAGATGTTGCGAGGAGTGGGGAAATCTCATAGGCGGCTACCAGAGTTTAACTTTATGATATTCAGTGTACGTTTGATTGAATACGTGTTGTAGTATCAAACGGCTTGAATTATTTGATTATTTGTAGACTTAAGAGCTGAATTTAGTGAAAATTGTAAGATTAATTCTTTTCATGAGAACAATATAATTGTTTTCAAAAAGAATATGTATGGGCGGTGACAATTGTTTCTATTTGAATCCTGATCTCTTTGAAAAATGTATTGTCTAGGTTTTCATATACAGGTATATCTAATCTGAATTTAGAGATTGTCATTCACTTGAAAACTTGAAAAAAAGACCTGTCTCATTAATGAACACTTAAAATGGAGACGTAAAACCTACTTAATATTGCTTACTTTTTGCATTTTTTTTTCAGAGAATAGAGGAACCGTTTTTGATTGCGGTGAAGGAGACTCTAGGAGATCGTTATTCAGCAAATATGGACAATATCTATCGAAAAACTGTAAAGTTTATCATACGAGAACTCTCGCAAGGATTTAACGATGCCCCCAAAGCCATAGACTAATGTGATCATAGTTTTCATACACAAGTGCCATTTAAACGTGTAAATAAAAGTATTGTGCATATTCTGACAATGTTTTAGCTCAGATGAGTTTAGCGTATTTTTATGATTATTTATTGTTATTTATACAGAAATAGCATGTGTGTCTTTTTTGGAGTCTGAAAGAATACAATGTGGATTCATCTAGTAGTAAAGCTGTTCAAAAATCCAATAATCGAATGCATGTTTCGAAATTCGAAAAGAATATTATGATTGAACTCCACAATCTGCAATTTGATCTGTTTCGCATGGACGTTAATCTGCAGGGCCGTAACTACCATTGAGGCAACGGAGGCAATTGCCTCCTCTAGATTTTTTTTTGGAAATAAGAAACACAACACAAGCAGCTGGATCAAAATTGATCATTTATTTGTTTGATTATAGCCACCTGAGCAATTTTTCAGCTATCCAGTGAGTGTCACCATTACCTATGCTCGGCGTTCAGGGCCATTGAGCAAAGAGGGATCTTTATCGTGCCACAGCTGTGACACGGGGCTTAACTTTAACTTAACTTTATGCGGTCTCATCCGAAGGACCAGTCCCCATGTCCCATAGCGAAATTCGAACTACGGCGATCGATCATTTTAGAACTGCATTTAGTACAGTGAAAACTATTCAGAATGAATCGACGGGTACGATATTCCCAGATACCCCTATTGACTTAAATAATTTTATCTTTTTCTTGGGAAAAGTCAGTTTCGTATTTATCATTGTTTATATTTACATTCAGAAGTTAAAATTCAATTGAAGCATCAGATGAGTATTGTGAGTTAACGTTAGTTGGTTGGTTATTGATTGATTCCTCTTTATCATTCATATTTTGCAGTCGTGTAATTGTCGCTGAAAAAATCTTAAAAATCAATTGTCACAAAAACAACCATTATCACGGATAACGGAATTGCTTCTTTCCATTTAACAGTTAAGTGTATATCTTAGCAGTAAACATGTCGTTCAAACAGTCATCACTGACGACGTTTTTCAGTAGAAATGACCGCAACAAAGACAAAGAATCTCAAAGTCCTCCCGTTGATTCTTCGGCTACGGCAACTAACGTTCAGTCTGAGCAATCGGCATCTGTTTCGCAGATATCGTCGAGCTACAAACTTGACAAAGTTAAAATAGTACATAAATAGGTAATATAATAAAGTGGTAAGCATTCTCAAAATCAAGGAAATGGTCCAAAATTGAGCCGTTTGAAGCAATTTTTTTGCGGGGGGCTTCGCCCCCCGCACCCCCGATCTTTGGGGGCCTCAATCGGCGGCCCCAAACCCCCGCCTCCTCTATCTTTTACCCCTAGTTACGGCCCTGATCTGCACGATTGTAAGTTGACCCGTTTAGTGTTGAACTTGTTCGAATAAAGCATTCAATTAATTTTAAACAACTATATGAAAAGAAATTTCTTGCTGTGACCTTTAAATTGACATAAAGATATAATGACGATTTGTCAATTCTCTTTCATTCCACCGAACTTTGATAAGACGCATCTCTTTCATATTTGAATATCCTATTACAGAAAAACATTGATTGAAAATTAACAAATAAACTTTATGATAAACATGGGTTCTTTTATATCGTCTTATTTATGAAGCAATATGATTATCCGTATTGATCAGATACGTACACGAGCGCATGCTTAATGTATTTTCTAAACAATACAGGCTATTGCCCAAGAAGTTGATCATATAAGGTTTTCAACAATTTTGCATATTGAAATCCCAGTTCATCAAAATTACAATTGAAATAATGAGTCTTTTAAACAAAGTGGTGTTGTTACCTACTTTGTCAGCGGGGACCAGTACTGGTCGTTTAATCTGTCTTATTCTTTTTTCACTTCTGTATTATTGAAGATTAGAGGGATAGGTGATTTTATATTGTCTCTCCATTGCTTAATCTGAGATTTCAACATCAATCTTATACTTTAGTTTCATGGAATAAATATAAAGTTAAAAATTTTAAACATCAAATTAAAACTTTTAATGTAATACACTCCATTCTGACATAGGATAACGGTCTTTTTTTTCACGTTTTCTCATCGCCCTGCGTAATCTTCCACAGAATTCGTAATGCCTGTAAAATCATGATGCCATTCAAAAGACAGGATTTCAATAAATATTGAACCTTTTGAAATAAGAGATCTGAGGTCCCGTCATTAGATATAGTTACATTGCCATAAAGTACGTGTTCAGCAGGACTGTATGGTTGTTGGGAACAGAAGAAATGAACACATTCGATTGTGTTTCAGATTGTGTTTCAGATGTGCGATATCTTGGGAAGCCCCATCGTCGGAAACCCACGGGTGATCTCGTCTTCACTTATCACCGGGGTGTAATTTCATTGCATACAACCAGACCCACGAAGTTGTGTGTAAATAAAAATGGCGACATCAATGATGTCAGTGTAATTTTTGCGACGAAAAAGATTTTGTCGACATAACACTCGTTTTAGAGTTCTTAAACTAATAACAATTCGATGATTTACTGCCAGAGAACACAAAATTTCTTTGTAAGTAAACCCCATATTAAAATACAAAGCAGCGGCTGTGTAAACATCCATCTTCTTAACCCAATAAAGATACAATAGCACTCACCTTTTGCAAAATAATTTATGTGGCGGCAGCCAGATATTAAGTGGTGGCCGCCAGATATATAAATGGCAGCCGCCAGGCCAAAATAAAAAATATCTTTGTTTCCCCCTAAAGCGACCGACCTAATTAAATCGCGCCTACTGAAAAGATTTTTTAAATAAGATGATTCAAAAATTTTTTTTTATTGTCAACCAAGTTTTATAAAATACAATTTCATCAAAATCAGTTTTTATCAGAACGGCCGACATTGTTTTACTGTGATTTTCAAGCATTTATTGGAAACAAAATAGCGTCCAGATGTGAATACAGAGAAGTAGTTCTTCATAAAACAACGGCGATGTTTCAATCTTATGCCTTTAGCTAACAAGAATTCTTCACTCTTGAAACAATTTGATAATAAAATTTACCATGACTAATTAAGAGTGTTTCGGAGATGTCTTGGCGTCTCCATGTGAGTGAATAAATTTTCGAAAGGGACGGTAAACAACGAACAAACAAATCTGTCTGTTGAATTTCATGCATATGTAATACATGGAAAGGCCAGCCTCATGAGCAGATGAGATGCCCACTTAGTGAACACATCATTCAATTTCATTGCATTTTATTTAATTTGAGTTTTGATCTAATAAACCCTATGTTTACTATATGCCATTATTGAATCATAGGAGTTGTAAATATGTCTGCATATTCATCCTGATAAATATAATTCAGTTGTACTTTTTCATGCCTTTATTTACGGGTTAAACTTCATGACTATGACATTGTTTTATATAGCATTTTTATCTTTTGTAGATTCGGTTTGGTTCATTTAAATATTGTTTAAATAAACTTTCCAAATAGTTTTGAAATCAAAATTCGGCTTCCTGAGACGTCCAGTGTATTTTTCTTTAATTAGGCCCTTGAAGATTGGTTGTTTCTTTGCTGTTAATCCCATCGAGATTTGTTGGGACGACATTTTGAACATTTCCCCATTGCTTCAAATTTAGACGTACTAAGCATTTTTTTGCCATTAAGCAGTGGGAGGGTCATAATCAATTTCAACTTTCTTTTTCCCGACTTTACGGCTTTAGCAGAATTATGTAGAAAAAAGGGTATTTTTATGACATCTTTGAAATCATATGAAAAGTAAACCGGATACCTATATCAAATTTGATATTGATTTAAAGAAGAGTCCACAAACAAACTAATTACCGTTTTCTGAGAGACTGTAGGCAATCTGGATACATTTTTTTCTGCCGAATATGAAAATAACTCCCATATTCATAACTGGTTTTCTTAATTTTTCATTGAAATTGACAGTTTAAAGTACAGTTTTGAATCTTGTTTACCTACAAATTAGGCCCCGAAACACCTTATTTGACCAAGCTAAAGTTGTAAAGCATCAATAATGGAATTTATTTCTCAAATTTGATAAATCTGTAGGCACCTTTCATTTACTAGATATTGACCTTAAGCAGTGGGGATCTTTTTTGAAAATAAGCCATTTTCAAGTCTTTGGTAAACTCCAAAATTAGCAAAATGCAAAATGCTCTAGAACCACTGCAAATCTCATGGCCCTCTAAAAGGTACATTGACTTTCTATGAGCACTGGAGGGTGATTGAAGGTTTGAAAAAATATACTCGGATGTCCAGTCTTTGCGTATTTGAGAATCTTGTCATTTTTTATTCGATTTGTTTAAATGTACTCTGGCGTGAGATATTTCACAAGTTCATCTAAATTACAGTTGTGAATTAATTAATCATGAATTTTGCTTTAAACGGCATATGTATGATACTTAGCATTTTGTTCTCAAATCACTTTCTTTTGTACTTTTCTTATTTATAAATGTAATTTTCCATTAAATTTTAGAATGTATTTTTAAAGCTGCTGTCAGAAAATAAAATTGTTTACCTACCTACCGACCCAACTTGAGAATTTAGGGTCGGGTTGGGGGAAACAAAGATATTTTTAATTCGGCCCCAGATAAAATATTTTTTCCTTTGTGGCAACAACGGGCTTCCGTAGGTTTTGATATAAGGAGCCCCAGCCCCCTTTTTTCCGACATAACTTTTTACTAAAGAAAATGTTTATTGAAAGCCCCCCCCCCCATTTTTGTTGAAGTATAGTCAAATAAGGATAAAAAACATATAAAGTATGTTTGAGTAAAATAAAAAATTGGTACTGAAAGAAGTTTGAACCAAACAATTTACCAATCACCCCTCCCCACCTCCAAATAGGATTTTCGAGTTTGGACAAACAAATTTCCTGGAGTTGGGGGGGTCAATTTTTTCGGGTTAGTTGATTTTTTTTTTCTCTGACTGACCCTGGCCCAGTGGCAGACATAATAAGAATAAAAATTCGGAATCCTGTAAGACGCGGTGTTGGTTTCAACTTTTATAATTTGAACAAGAAGCAAGAAGTCTCGCGAGAAACGCATTAAAATTTTCATGATTCTGCTTTGTGACTTGTACAACAGACACAGTGCTAATGTGACAGAATGTCAGAGACTTACGGTATGCTAACAGTCATTTACATTACAAGTTGGTTTTTATAGATGTATCATTGAAAGGTTATTTCATTTTATGAGGCACACAGAAAAATGTTGAATGTACACGGAAGTCTAAACTAGTCCCCTTCCCTCAGTTGCAAGCCAAACAGCTGATCAATATATTGTATAGTTTTTCTTAAAGAATGCAAATTGCATGTTATCCCCTAGTGTATATTAAAAAGCGTATGTTTAGAAATGTGACTTTTTATTTGAAAATAAATTAGCTAATGTATTATGACTAATGAATAGTGTAAACATACAGCAGTGATCAGCTGTTCATGAAGTTGAACTTGAAGACTTAGGTAGATGTATATTATTTACTCATAATATGTTTTATGGTGTGACCGTTGGGGCGAACGCAGTTGTACCATTAAAAACACTTGAAAAATATTAATCAGCCTGTTCAGACGTCAAGCCGCACGAGACATCTGGACTAGTTGTGACGTCACACGACGTCATGGAGCTTGTCGAGCTTACGGAGACAGAAACTTTAGACCTAGTGCAATATTGGCCGAAAAAAAAATTGCAGAGTTATTTTTTGTTTCTTTGAAAGTTTTCGGCAAACTGAAAGCCTTTTATGCTTTACGTTATTATTTATTTATTTTTCGCGCAAAGGACATTGGGTAGTGCAGGAATTCTGGGAATGTTTCACAGAGAAATTTGCCTAACGTATGTACAGATTTCAATCCAAATTTCCTCTGTTCATACACGTTAGTCTATTGAGATCGCTTTGCAAAGCGACGCTCGCTGCGCTCGCTATAAGGTAATACTACAATTCAGCAATAATGAAGTAATGAATGATCAAAATGAAGAATCTTCAAAGCGAAGATAAATTAAAAGAAAATCTGTGTGTTGTCTCTCTATAGATGCAAATAATAAATGAAATGGAAGCCAAATAACTTTACATATTTTCTGTGGGGTATATATAAATAATCTACAGGTTTAAACAGGATTGATAAATAATTAATTCTAACAGTGACATTAAATTTGTTGATTGACATGTATTTTGAAAGTATGAAATGAAGCAGCAGTAATGAAAACAGAAGAGGTTTGACTACTTCATTTATTAAATTTAGATTTTTTGGGGATAAAATAAATATTATAGACTGTTAAGGGAGAAATAACAAATTAACCAGGTCTGAGCAGAGTTGTCACACTAATGGATCACAACAGTGACATCAAATTTGTTGATTGACATGTATGTAATAGTATGTCTAAATTTTTAAAGTTCCCATTAATGTATACAGTCTATGGTTTTTTTACTTCACTTTATTAAATTTACATTTTTAAACAATGACTTATTTAAGTCCATGTAGGATAGCATTAAAAGCATTAATACAATTTCTTTTACAGATTTTCACACAAGTTTTTACACTCAAGACCTGAAAATTTGAGATATTGTAATAGTATGTCTAAATTTTTAAAGTTCCCATTACTGTATACTGTCTATGGCATTTATTTCATCATTAAGTACACTTTGCAGTGAGAATTAATACATTTTTAAACAATATATATATGTCCATGTAGATTTAAAAGCATTCTTACAATTTCTTTAATGTTTTTTTTCACACATTTTTAGTCATTGGTAGTGCTGGAACAGGAAAATCCTGCATACTTCATCAGTTCATTGAAAATAAATGTAAGTTCTGGTGTAAATTGTGTTTAATTTATTCTGCTGAAGATCTATAAAATTAGTAAATATTTATTCATTTATTAATATTATATTTATTATAATTTGAATACATTGAAAATGGTTAACATGCACAACTAAGAAAGTAAAATATTTATAATTTGTTTTTTTTTTCAGTTAAAAAGGATTCAAACCATACAATTGGGGTAGAGTTTGGAAGCAAGGTTGTGAATGTTGGAGGGAAATCTGTAAAACTTCAAATCTGGGACACAGCCGGACAGGAACGATTCCGGTAATACAGGTTACAGGGTCAACTTATTTTGTAATACAGGTTACAGAGTCATTTCATTTTGTAATACAGGTTACAGGGTCAACTCATCTGGCAATACATGTTACAAGGGAAATTCATCTTGTAATACAGGTTACAGGATCAATTCATCTAGAACATGTGATACAGGTTACAGGGTCACCTTATCTAGCAATACAGGTTACACAAACAGGGTCAACTCATCTTATAAGACAGGTTACAGGGGCAGCTCATTTTGTATTACAGGTTACAGGGGCAGCTCATCTTGTAATGCAGGTTACAGGGTCAGCTCATTTTGAAATGCAGGTTACAGGGTCAGCTCATTTTGAAATACAGGTTACAGGGTCAAGTCATCTAGCAATACAGGTTACAGGGTCAGCTCATCTAGCAAAACAGGTTACAAGGTCAGCTCATCTTGTAATGCAGACTACAAGGTCAACTCATCTGGCAATACATGTTACACAGTCAACTTGTCTTGTAATGCAGGTTACAGGGTCAACTCATCTATCAATACAGGTTACACAGTCAACTCATTTTTTAATACAGGTTACAAAGTCAACTCACCTAGCAATACAGGTTACAGGGTCAACTCACCTTGTAATACAGGTTACAGGGTCAACTCATCTGGCAATACAGGTTACACAGTCAGCCTGTCTTGTAATGCAGGCTACAGCATCAACTCATCTAGCAATACAGGTTACAGGGTCAACTCATCTTGTAATACAGGTTACACAGTCAACTCATCTTGTAATACAGGTTACAGGGTAATTTCATCTATCAATACAGGTTACACAGTCAACACATCTTGTAATACAGGTTACACAGTCAACTCACCTTGTAATACAGGTTACAGGTTCAACTCACCTTGTATTACAGATTACAGGGTCAACTCATCTTGTAATGCAAGCTACAGGGTCAACTCATCTTGTAATACAGGTTACAGGGTCAACTTATCTTGTAATGCAGGCTACAGGGTCAGCTCATCTAGCAATACAGGTTACAGGGTCATCTCATCTTGTAATACAGGTTACAGGATCAACTCATCTAACAATACAGGTTACAGGGTCAGCTCATCTAGCAAAACAGGTTACAAGGTCAACTTTCTTGTAGTGCAGGCTACAGGGTCAGCTCATCATGTAATGCAGGTTACATGGTCAACTCATCTTGTAATACAGGTTACAGGGTCATCTCATCTTGTAATACAGGTTACAGGGTCAACTCATCTTGTAATACAGGTTACAGGGTCAACTAATCTAACAATACAGGTTACATGGTCATCTCATATTATATGCAGGTTACAGGGGCTCATCTTGTATGAAGGTTACAGGGTCATCTCATCTGATAATACAGGTTACAGGGTCAACTCACCTTGTATTACAGATTACAGGGTCAACTCATTTTGTAATGCAGGCTACAAGGTCAACTCATCTTGTAATACAGGTTACAGGGTCAACTCATCTGGTAATATAGGTTACAGGCCTGAGGGTCATAAAGTATAGATAAGTAGAGAATACAGCCATAGCAGCCTTTAGTACAGCTACAGGTAACATAATAGAATCTGGTAATACAATTACTCATACTAGGTCTTTGAATCTAATCGTTTAGGTAATGGATTTTTAATATCATGAAGAAAGGATAAAAGATCATGGCATCAAGTTATACATGTTACATGGTCACAGCAATGACAGGATCCTATAATATGAGTTATGATTGATTACACAGTTTTTGACATAATAAATCCTTGTTTGGCAAAGCAATACCATATTCCAATACAGATTTATTCACCAGGATGGCTCTGTATTATGTCACAACTAAGTGATGTGTACAGAATGTATCCTTTTAAAGACTTCAACAAGATTTTTACTAATGTCAGCAAGGCTTCATATAATAGTCAAAATATCATTCACCATCATAAACATGTATTCTCAGTATAATATCATCACAGTTAAAGATGGGAACAACCAAAAAAACATTTGTTTACATCAGTTTTATGCCGAAAAATATTGTGTTTAGTTTTAAATGGATATGCAAACCTTGAAGCATTGTTAATCCACCACATAGTTAAGGGGTTAGCTTTTTATGAAAATCAGAGTATATTTAAATAACATTTCAGACTTTTGAATAATTTAAAAAATAAAATTGAATATTCTTAAGTAAATTTAAGTGGCTATGCACTTTCTATTCTGTTGTTATTCCTTTCAGGTCAGAGTAAGTGAAATGTAGTACAAATATATTGTTCTATTTAGTTAACCCCTTGACTTTGGAGGACTAAGAAAAAAATGCAACTTAAGAAATTTTGTTTTAAAAGGTGTTGAACACAAAGTAAAGTCATTAATTTACTTCTGATTTTTTTTTTCAAGTTGTACATACCTAGTATGTAATTAAACCAATCATTTTTTTTTATTTGGATTATTGTACTTGTAGCATATATTGAATACATGTGATTTGTCCTCCTGTAGTCAAGTGAAATATTTATTACTATTTTCAAATACAGTAAAACTCGTTTAGTACGAACACGGATATAGCGAATTTTTTTGGAACCCCGGCAAAATTCTTAACAAATTTTTGTAAAATTTTACGGTTATAACGAACTCTGATATAACGAATTTACGGATATAGCGAACTGATTTTGAGTCCCGTTGAGGTTAAATATAATGAAATTTACATCTTTTATAACGAACTTTCAAAGATAATAAAAAAATTGATAAATTGAACTTATTTATTTCCTTTTAGTATTTGTATATAAAACTCAATTCATAAGAAAACCTTAGTTGTCGAAGATTTGTTTTGATATATTTGCTTCACAAACATAGGTGGAAGTAATACTTGAAAGAAAACATGCATATTGCGAATTCGCTATAATGGTTATACGAATTCGTTATACGGATATACAGGGTTCGACACTAACTTTTTTAGGCTTTGGTCCGGCCGGACTAGTGTTTCTTTACTTTTACTAGTCCGCAGGAAATTTTATGAGTCTGTCAATTATATAAATAATTAAGTAGAATTAACATTGCAATGTACTTTTTATACTTTTTTGAAATAAACAAAACATTTATATGAAATGTTTTATACCAAGATTCATTGAAAATCTCGCCATCAAGATTCGAACTATGATCATATAATATTCCCGATCGCATTTGTTCTTCTGTATGCATTATTATATCATACAAACATTCGACATCTTTCTTTATGTGTCATCCTAAATCATGATCGCTAAAATGTTTAATTTATGTGTCATCCTAAATCATGATCGCTAAAATGTTTAATTTCATATCTTCGAGTCCTAAAATTAAGCTCCAAATTGACTCAGAATTATGTAAAAGCTAAAAATAAACAAGGGCTTTTCCAGTGAAAGTTGTTGAGATATCTCTTGGTAAATGTGTGTGTGTTATCAAATCTTCCCCAGAAAAATTCATTAGTCTCTCTTCTCTAATTAGCCACAAATTTTTTTAGTCCGAAAGAAAATGTATTAGTGTGAGACTAACGTTAACGTTAATGTCAAAATGATATAAAATTGGATATATCGAATTTGATTTTGTATAATGTTTTTTTTTTCAACAATCAGTTTGCAGGACTTGCAATATATTTTTTTAATGCAGTAATGAAGAAAAATTAAATGAAAATAACCGATGTATTACAGTATTAGTTTGTTTCATTTGCTTGCACCTAGTAGCATGCAGGATAATATTACTATTATGAGTAAATTTATAAAAATCTGTGAAGTTTAGTGGGTTAATATATTGATTGGGTTTGAGGTCAACATTTGATTTTTGAACCTGAGGTGAAAATGTTGAAGATGTTGCCCAGATCCCAGATTAAAACTATTTTGTTATATATGTACCCTTCACTTTAAGTCAGAATATTAAAGTGAAAATATTTGAACAGATTTGATCAATATATAAATAACTTTCTCTGCAACATTTTGGTTTTATCAATAAAAATGATATAAAAACAAGCACTGAAAAAATCATCCAAAATTTATTACATCACAGAACATAATCCTTCTATGATGCCATCTCTTTTATATAGCATAATATTGCTCTTGAAACTTTGCCTATTTCCATGTTGCTGTATTGAACAATGAGTAATAACTAAGTGTAACATAGCACAGACTCTGCCAGTTAACAATAAAATTGTCAGACCTATGCCAAAATTGTTTACCTTGTTGAACTTTTATTTCTTATAAATATATTGATATTTATAAGGGTACAATAGTACATGTAACATATATTATATTCAAATTTATTTTGTTTTCAATTCTTATATACATGTACCTTCTTTTGTTTGCTCAGAATGAGTTCTTCAATATATTTCAGTAAAAGAAGTCTCACAGATCATAATTCCCTTTCCTTTGTATAATTTATGAATTTTTAAAAAAAATATGACATGATGTCACATTGTTTTATCTTAATTATTATTTTTTATGTTTTTGGGTTGGATGGGGATTGGGGATTAAAATGACACATTTATATTCATTTGTATAATCAATTTTGTTTGTTGATTTAAAGGATGAGTTTGTTTCTTTTTTAATTTACCTAGTATTAAATTGTACATGATTGAAATAATTTGATGCTTATGAAAAGATTGACTTGTCCTCAATAAAAATGTAATGCTTTTAAGAAGTGACACTTGATACACTTTTACTGTAGCTCTGTGACCAGAAGTTACTACAGAGGAGCTGCTGGTGCCCTGTTAGTGTATGACATCACAAGGTAATGGCTAAACAGATGTTTACTTTCTGCCTCCGCTCTTGTTTCCTTTCTGTTCTTCAATCCATATTTTCATTGGGTTAATTTTTCATATAATTTAGTATAAATTTAATGTGATGATGGAAGAAAAAGGAAATCCAGATAAAATTTCTCCCAAATTATTTAAATTGATTGATTTCATTTAATTTTCTAGAGGCCCAGTGAAAATTTGGCACGACAGACCTGTTTTTAACAATGTGAATACATGTATTCAGCTATTTTAGTAATGTTCTAAGGAAAATGCTGTTATGATGACTCATTTTCAAGGTTTTGTGTCTTTTTTAGTCGAGAGACTTACAATGCCCTGACAAACTGGCTGACCGATGCTAGGACTCTGGCCAGTCCAAACATTGTCATCGTGTTAGTGGGAAACAAGAAGGACTTGGAACAGGAGAGGGAAGTCACCTTTCTTGAGGCCAGCAGATTCGCACAGGAAAATGGTTTGTGTCAAAGCTTGGAAAAATAAAGTTTTCAGACTATAATAATTAACTAGAGGTACTGTGAGCAATGAGCTCACTAGATTATACTCCCTGCCTCCCATATGATTATAATTGCAAAGTCCATGTTTTGCACTGGGAGACCTGCAATAAGTGTAAGATCAAAAAGTAAAATAAGGGGGGCAGAATGGCATTATGTAATAAAGAATCTGTGAAAGCATCATTGAATTTTATTCAGTGGTATAGGAGGAGTTATGGATAAGAGATTATAGAAAAAATTGCTATGTCCATATTTTGCTCTTGGAATCCCAAAAATATGTGTCCAATCAAAAAGTAAAATAGGAGGTGCACAATGGTGCTGTACAACAAAGATTCTGTGAAAGTCTCAATAAATTTCATTCAGTGGTAAATAAGAAGTTGTGGATTCAGTGTTCTAGAGTAGCTTTATATGGGACTTGTTTTGCTGACTGTCTTGCTTCTTGCCCATTAATTTAAGCTTAATCTGCTATATTCTGAAACATTCAGATGCATTCAACATCAAATTTTTTAAGTTATTCAACAGTTTTTTCATGATTTGATATATCATTTCCTTAGTTCATTTTAACCATGATTTTAACTAAATTTTAGAACTGATGTTTTTGGAAACAAGTGCTTTGACTGGAGAAAATGTAGAAGAAACCTTCCTCAAATGTGCCAGATCTATTTTAACAAAAATAGAATCAGGTAAAACTAATATAATGATGTTGTATGTATTACATGTAATTGTAGCCCTGGCTGTTATAGTAAACACATTGTTCACACTCTTCAATAGCAGATGATTCATTAAACATGCTTAATTTGGGGGATTTTTTTTGAAAGTTGCATATATAAAAGACCAAAATGATATAAATTATATTTTGAAACATTTTCATTTAAAAAAAATGTATTCATATGTATAAACACAATGTAGTTCCCTTTATTTTGGTTTTAAGGAGAACTTGATCCAGAGCGGATGGGGTCTGGAATTCAATACGGAGACACCTCTCTGAGGAGAATTCCAAAGGAGACATTTGGACCTAGCGGGAAGCGACCAGACTGTGCGTGCTGAGAGTACACCTTCTTTATCTAACGAGATCTGACTTCATAGCTGTGTATCCATCCAAGTGTCATATCATTGCCTTTGTCGCAATTCGCTGATTATAGTCTATATTTGTCTAAATGTACAGGCTTGTACTGGTGTGGCATGACATTTTCATGAGTTGTGTTATTTAAAAGATGTGATTTATATGAGAAAAGAAATATTTAAAAGATGTGATCTGTGAAAAAAGAAGTTTAGGAGCTTTAGTTTTGAAAGATAATGTCTGAAATTCATGAACGCACAATGTTTATTATGCATATTTTTTGTCAATGATTTGTTTAAGGTATAAATCAAGCTTCTAAAGAAACCAAACACCAAAACAAAAAGATGCCAGGCAGTGTTGTAAAATGTAACAAATTTAATTTCAATCTGAAGTGAGTTACATTTACTTTCAATTACAATACTAGTATGTAGAATTTTGTGTAGTGTAGCATAAACTCTGCTTCATTATAAGCAAAACAGTGTATTTATTATAATGTGTGATGTAATGTCACTTTAATCTTAAATAGGAATTAATATACATGTAATATGTTTGATCTTGAATTCATCTTTCTGCATCATGCTTAGATGTAAGGAATGCTATTTTATATGCAACCAAGTCAAATGCTGAGCTGAGCCAGATGCTCAAGTGAGTTTTTCTGATCAAGGTTTAAATTCTAACAGTCAATATACCTGCCCTTTGATATAGTTATAAACTTTGGATACTCTTAACTGCTATAGATCAATTTTATTCAAATTTTTCACAAAGCATCAAGGGGTCAAGGAGATTCAAAGAATGGCCAGATATCATCCAATGTGGAGTTTAAATGAAAAATGAAAATTTCCAAAGAAGTTTTAAACTTTTAGGTAAGACAAGAGATCCCTCCAATCTTAAATGGGTCACTTTGGTAGCTATTAAACAGTTAACTGTCCTAACAAATTGAAAAGGTTTTGGGGTTTTATTTTTTGACAGTAAAAATATGGAATCATTAGTCCACATGTAATGCATATTTTGTTCTAAGGGAAGGATTGGCCAATAACAATGACCCCAAAAAAGTCATTTATTTTTCGAAAGCATTATCAATGTGTTAAAACATTCCCATCATAAAGAGAAAGGCTTTAATTAAAGTTCAGTGTCCCATTTTGAAACTGCAGTTTTATTCCTATCATGAACCCTACAGGATAGGGGGGCAATAATAATGTTTAAATATAAAGTTAGGTTCAGCACAAAGATAAGCATTAGCATTAAGAATATTTTCTGTTGATGAATTAAATGTAAGATCGAGATGCATTTTTGTTCTTTATTTAATAGGAATCTCTTGAGCTAGATTTTTTCATTGAAAGATAGTGTGTGGTTTATGCAATTCATAGTAAGATTTTCAGTTGTTAGTGTGTTAAACTATCAGAAAGTCATTGAAAAGGTTGTTGACTATTAAATGTTAGATGAACTGAAAACAGTGTGCAAAAATAAAGCAGGAAAACATTTTATCAATTTTGTTAAATATTTATTTTAATACATGTACATGTAAATTTCATAAGATGCACTTACTGACTTGTAGTTCATGAAGCCATCAAATACAAGTGAATCAATAAGAGTTCATCCTAATTCTGAGTTGACTGTTTCTTAACATGGATTGGTCTATTTGAATCATGTATTAAAGAAAGTTTTCAAAGAATAATTTAAAAATTAAATAGAAAATAAACATATATAATATCATTATTATTATGACTGAAAAGCACTGTAATTTCTAGCAGTGGTTTACAATTCAATTCATCTGAATTGAAGTGTTAAACTATATATCCATCCAGAACAACCAGACTTTTATTTGTGTATTTATACATGCATGTAATTATAGGAATATTTGTATCCCTCAAAGGCTTCGAGGGGTCTTATTACATGCATGTATTCATTGCCAGACAGTAAGGCACTCAGGTGACTGTTGTGACCCATGAGCCTCTAGTGTCAGATGTTGATGTACTATCTCTTCCACTTAAAAATAACCCATGACCATCATAAGACAGCATGTATGAAATATTATTTTATACTACTGCAAAACTTCTTATGCTTTTGAGATTGTATGATCATTATGTTATATTGTGTATGTATTGATTCGTTTTATTTTCTTTGTAGATTTTTTCAGGTTTATTCCTGTGATGTTTTATTGGTTTATTTTATTTATTTTTCATAAACATACTATAACAGCTTAGTTTGATTTCTTTTCATATGATGTACATACATGTACATTTTTCAAGAAAGAAATGCTTTGTTAGTTAAACAAGACTTGTTTCATTGAAATTTATTCCATCAATATTTGAACACAAGTAATGGTGGTGTCCCTTGTAAAATGTGTTGATTATCTATACATTCCCTCAAACATTAAATAGACAACCTTTCAGTAATTAAACTTAACAAATCTATTATTAGTAAGAATGTTAAGATTTGCCGGGATTGGGACCAGCTTACCCACAATGTGTTAAACTGAGGCTTCATGGTTGCTTTGCTTTAAAAAGGTGTTTTAACATGGATCATTTTTTTGATTCAGTAATCCCCAAATCATACAGATCAAATGTCAATTGTTTAGATATAAAATTATCTCACTGGAATTCACAGAATACTGTTAAATTGCTATTTTTATGCCCCTCTTGAAAGAAGGGAGGGCATATTGCTTGCTGTCTGTCAGTCGGTCTGTCTGTTTCCGTTCATTTTCTTTGCAGAAGTTGCACATATTGAAATGAAATTTGGTATACAGATTTAATTATCATAAGAACATTTAGGTCAAGTTTTGTTTTGGGTACAATCGGCCTACATGTGTATTTTGGACAGAGTTATGCCCCTTGGACTTCCAATTATTTGCAGTTTCTGTTCATTTTCTTTGCAGAGCTTGCACATAATTAAATGAAATTCAGTATATAGATTTAACCTAAAAATATCTAGGTCAAGTTCTGTTTGGGTACGATTGAGCCGTTTTAGATAGAGTTGTGCCCACTGGACTTAGAAAAATTTAAATTATTTGGGGGAGGGGGGCATAAGTGTTTTACAAACATTTTGTTTTTATCAAACCTCAATTTGGTACACTTTGTATGCAATAGAATTTATATTTTCAGTTCTCTCATGTAAAAAACCTTAGTGTAGTGTGGATAACCAAACTGATCAAGCTGTCTTTATTAATACATGTATATTGATGTGGATTGGAAAATGTGCAGACTATAGTGTCTGTTCATTTTAATGTCAGATGAACTGGAGATATTGACAATGATCTTCAGAATGCTTTTTCTGTATTTATATAGTGCTTTCAAGAAATATACACCTTGTAACCTTAATAATATACACATAAGGTTTGTTTTCATAATTATTGCATAAATGGGCCACTATGTACTATCCTTGTTAGTTGTTTATTGAAATAAGTTGTTACTGCAGTCATTAAACCATACAACTCATATCTGTGTTTGTTCTTTGAAGGACCAGCAAGGAATTTACAGGCATGTGTTGCTTTGCAGCGTATAAATTGAGAAAACTACAACAAAAGTTACTGTTTAAAGTATGCCACTGATCAGCAATTGAAAAAAATGTAGAGAAAATCTCAACTTCATAGCTGCGTGTATATATTCCAATTCAATTATGAAATAATAGAATGAAAAAATCTGAATTATACAATACATGTATAATAATATTTTTAAAGTTCCTATATACCGGTACTGTATACAGGGTTATTTTCGCCCCGTATTATTTTCACCCTTTTGCACTTCCAAACAATTTTGCACCGTTTTAAATTCGCACAGTTACTGTTCTGTTTAAGATTTATTAGTGTGTTATTTGAAATCGCCCCGTTTTAAATTCGCCCTCATGTGATTAGGGCGAAAGGGGTGAAAATAAAACGAGAGCGAAATTTTCCCTGTATACAGTATTTTCTATGTAAAAATTGGTGATTCCCTATTGTGGCCCATCCTACCCCCAGGAGTCATGCTTTGAAAAATTTAGAATTCACACTACCTTAGGATGCTTTCACTAAAGTTTACATTTTTCTGGCCTAGTGGTTCTTGGGAAGATTTTTTGTACATATTTCAATTAAAACTTGGATCCCCCATTGTGGTTTGATCCTATTCTCAGGGGGTCATGATTTAAACAATTTATAATTTAAACTACATGTACCCCATGATGCTTCCACATAAGTTTCTGCTTTTCACTTGTATTTGAATTCATTTTATTTATGTATTAATGCTTTTGTATTAATAGAATAGTATCATGTTCAAAAAAGCTAGTTCTCAAACCAATAAACAGTTATAACGCAAAGGATGTGCTTAGAGATGAGCATAAAAAGGACAGTCTAGCAGTTTTTATTTCTTAAAAAATCACACAACAATAATTCAATAACTAACATTGACTAACAAAATATAACTCTTGTTATGTAACTTCAAAAATAGTATCTAACTTTTAATTCTAAAAAAAAAATAAGGAGTCTGAAATAAACTTACATTTTAGATCTCCGTCGGTTTCCAAAACAACAACATGGACTATAATAAGTAAATAAAAACAAAGTACAAACTGTACCAAGTATTCTATATTATGTTAAGCAATTTTTTGTGGAAACAGCGAAGGAGAAACATTTTGATACCCTATATACATGTGCATGTGTATAAAGATTGCATATTTTGCACAAGTACTCAATATCACTAGAACAGTAGAACTTACCGGGTATGAACATAAGATATAAGAACTTGGTCCTTCACTAAAAGTGCATGTCCCTTTATTTAAAAATATAACAACATTATAATACTTTATATATATATAATACTAAAATTTAAAAAATATAGGACCCAATCCCTGCAGGTAAAACAATTTTCAGCTAATATCAAAGTGTTCTGTTGAATAATTCAACAATATTAAAAATGTTTTTTTTTTTGTATCTCTGGCTCTTCAAAAGAAACAAATGTACATTGTCAATCCATTCAATTGCTGACATTGTTATTTCTCAAGATACTGTAGATATAAATTTCTTTATTTGAGAAAAAAAAACAAAAACAATTTTATGCAATGAATAAAGTACATTATTTCAGTGTTGAAAATGAAAGAAAATGTTTTGTTTCATCCTGTATTTTTCAAAATTTATTTTCTCCATCCATATGTGCAACCGAAAAGAAAATCAGATAGATATTGTATTGTATGGAATAAAAAAAAAAAAAAAAAAGGTAGATTAGAGAAATAGAAGTAACATGATCAAATCACTATATTAACTTATCTATCTGGAGCTAAAATTTAAGTAGGAATTCAAAAATTCATCTTATGTGTATACATAAAACTATTTGTCATAATCATATACTTATACAATGCTTTTGTATCATGCAAAAAAAAAAAACAACAACAACTAATGCATCACTTGAGATCTTTGTTTCAAGTTCTACAGATCACACTTGACTTTGCGAGCTCTTGCGAATTCCAGCGCCCGTAGTCGCCTGGCGTACTCTTCGTTATCGTAAGTAGGGTACTGGTTCTGGTATTCACTACACCAACCTGTGGTTTCCTTGGAGATTTTGTTTGCGAATGTGTTCTTGTGTTTCTTTTTCTGAAGAAGTATTTTTTTCCGTAGGTCCTCTAATTTTTTGGCTCTAAGATAATGTTGCTGTCTGGCTTTAACTGCAGTGGGGTAGATCTGGAAACATCAAATTGCTATCACAATTAATCAATCTATAATTTCTGACAGTTAATTTGATGAATGTATAGAAAATACCAAACATACTGAAGAAATATTCTGCCACAACTCTCTTGAATTAAGTTAGACATGAACAAAAAAATTCATTCTTTTAATTTTTTTCCTTGTATGCATGTAATTTGGTGAGGCAAATGTCTGCTTCAAAACTGAAACATTCATTTATTGAGATTTGGATCAAGTTCTGTTATACATGCAGTCTGCTCTCTTTAATCATTTGGATATAACATAACATCCAATCCATACCAACCAAAAGTGTTGGTGGCCTCATCCTCTTTAGAATCTTTTATTTTTTAACTTTTGATTGAACATGTTGAATATCTTCAACATAAAAGTATCACAATATGACAAAAATATCATATCCAACATCAGTTTAATAATCCTTGAATAATATTTGATCCCTATAAAAATGTTTGTTTTTTTTAACTTACATCAGTAGAGCAGTGGACATTGTAAGTTCTTTTGTGTCCTGTTTCTAGTTCAGTGTCACCACTGCCATAGAGAACAAAGGGAGGCTTGTCCCCCGAGGCAGCAGAGGTGGGTCTGGGAGACCCTAGGGACAGGCGGGGCACGGATTCCCGGGGCAGGGCCGAGGAGCACGCTGTTTTAGGACGGGCAGGTATTTGTCCACATCTGTCAGGTCGCTTTGGCCTCTTTTCAAAAATTTTCTCATCAACATGCTTTGGTCTCAGAATGTCTTCTGAATAAGAAGAACATTTAATATCAAAATTAAACAATAATATATTTCCACAATAGTAATATTTTTTCTTCTTTCTGTTTAACTTGTAATAAGAAGTGTTAAAAAATGCTTTGTCTGAATGTTTTTTAGAGCATTTATTTATTCCTAAAAAGTACTGTGAAATAAACTTATTTTCATGGGGTATATTTTTCATTGTTTTTGAAGTATAATGAGACCAAAAAATTTACGTCCAGCACAAAATGTAAAATTCCTTACACAGTACCTATATAACTAAGCAACATATGTCTTGATCCTAAAATTCAAATTCCTTCAAGCTCGTATTTTTCCCTTAATCCTCAAAAATTTGACCCCACAGAAATATATGATTTTACAGTGTTTGGGAAAATGTAATATTAAAACATACTCTCTACCTCACATCTCATATTAGGAAAAGATACTGATACCAATATTCACCAGATGTCCGAAAGCCAAATTAAGGTTGTTATTTGTTTCATGTATGCTGATATGGGATGTGATATTCCAAAGGTAAAAATGATTCTTTGTATTAATACTGTACAATGCTAGTTTACAGATTCTATAACTAAAGAAATTTCACACACGGAAATTTTTGCCCCTATATTATTTTTGCCACTTTGTCCAACTCTCTATTTGGTAAGTTTAAAACAGGGTGAATTCAAAGAACATGCTATAATTTTTTCAATAGTATTAGGACTGGATGGATTTGAAAGGGGCAAAATTGTTTGCATTTGTATAAAGGGACTAAAAATAACAAGGAGAGAAAATATCTCAGCATTCAGCTTTCTTCTATTATAATATACTCTAAATTATTTTTTTTTTTTTTACATACCTGTAACTTTGCTTTTACTTTGTGAAGGCTTTACTTTGCATGTGTTTTTATTCTCTGTGCTGCTATATTTCTTTAATTTCTCTTTGGCTAGCTTTGTCAGTTCCCTGGTCTCTGAGGTTTGCTTTTCAACCAAAACATCTGATTTCTTTACTGCACTCACAGGCTTTTTCTGTTCACTGTTATTCACCATTACCTTTTCTTCTTCTTCACAAGTATTCACATTAATCTTCTCCTTTTTGTCCACCTCTTCTTCACATTTCTTTTCTTCATCATTTGTCTCTTTGTTTTTTAGTTCCTGTTTTTCATCAATATTTTTATCCTCTTTTTCCTCATCTATTTTCAGCTCTGTTATGGGTAAGTCATCTTCCTGTGGTGAATCAGGTTTATCCTCTAAATCTGCATCCCAAGAAATCGGAGTGTGCGCATACTCCAGCTCACGGCGGTGGTGACGATATGTGAGGGACTCGTAATATGTCGGTATATTTTTAACAAGAGAAGCAGGACGATACTCCTGTCTATACAGAGATGTTTTCGATACCATTGTGACTCACAGATAAAAATAGTTTGTCTGTAAACTTTAACTACAATCCATAACCATAAGATCTGAAACACAACAATAAAAAAGATGCAAAATAAATGCATTAAAATAGAATTAGTTTTCAAGAAAAAATACAGTTGTACTTCAGGATTTCAAACACTAATATCTTGAATACCATGGATGTTTCAAAGTAATTTAGAAGTCCCAACCACTTATTATAAATGGAATTGGAGGGAATATACTCCAATATAGTAATGCAATCATGTTTGTATGTTTGTTTGTGGGTTATGTCCTGTGTGTAATGGAAGTTTGCATTTGCATTTATGATTGATATAAATGCTGTCGTGATTATAGATACCAGTATTATGCTTTTTGCTAGGGGATACTGCACATTGTGGTGCCCTTGTCCCATTTTGAGATAACAACATTTGACTGTATATTATGTATATACTATTTTGCCACCATACACACATTACACTATGCATATAAATGAATTAAGCCTTCAATAGCAAAGAATACGAACTTCTCTGAAGATGTACATGTATCTATAGTAGTGATGGGACATTGTTTAATTTTTCATATTCGATCATCAGTTGGAATCAGTGACTGCTTTCAATGAGATTTTACCAATTATAATTGGATGATAAAAGCAGACAATTAGATTAACAAATATTTCTTATTATGTCATTAACTTTGATAAATTAGATAAATGATATGTTGTTTTCTTTGTTTTTTTTTACTTCTTTTACACTTTTTTGTTCTCAATGATCTCTGCTTTGTGCTATTGGCTTTGTAGATTCTTCATGCTCTTTCATTATGAAGAAATAAATTTTAAACTGGGAACGGATAACTCTGAAATGCATTTTATAAGAATTATGTTAATGATCATCGTTTATGAAAAAAAATAATTGATCTTCAGAATGGGTAACATTTTATATATGTTGTTGACAATCAATGTTCTCTGATTACTGGTACAACAATATCTGTGGATTTCCGATTAGACTATTGGCATGAATTGCAGCGAGCGGTGCAAAGGACCTCTAGTCACTGTGAGCTCTTAAAGCAAGACAATTCAGACTGTGCACTTTGATCTTAAGTATTTTTTTCAGCAGTTACACTTGATCCACAATGCATCGCTTGTTAAAGCTAAGTTCTTGCGAGATTAACTGGAAAACTTCAACAAAAAGTTAACTTGCCATGATTTAATGGATATACATGTATATTGAAGCTAAATAGTAAAAAACACATTCTTCATTTTCTTTCAGCACTGTTTAGGCTTCTTTAAGGTAATTTAACTTACATACTTCATTTGATGTCAGAGTCTAGACGCACCAAATGTCACATGCGATTTGACAAACATTATCTGAATTAAAACAATACAAGTATCTGCGTTCGCCCTAATGGTCACACCTTCAACGTATTACAAGCATTTCAATTTTAAATTCTTTACATCATTTAATGTGAAAGTATAGAAAATTTGACAAAACCATTGAACAAAAAAAAAAAAAAGAGGGCAGTGGTGTCTGATTCGTCAACTTCAATAAAACTAATTAATCACTTATGTTTACATTTATATATATGCATTAACCAGACACCTTTACACTAATCATAATAAGTAAGTATTTAGTTGTAACATGTTTTGGCGCTCCTCATAAATATTGTGTCTATGCGAATTCAAATGTTTCCTAATGGAAGCATATAGTAACAATTTATAACAATTTACTCTAGGCCTAAATAGTTTAAATATATTTACCTCCAAAAATCTAAAAGCATGTCTTTAGATCAATGTGCGATAAAGTCTTTTGTATTATTTGACTTCATGATCAACAGTTAACATTGCATGTTTACACTTGAAATTTAAATGTGAAAGCGAAAGCGGAAGTTATGAATTCCATTTGTCAATGTTTGTTATATCGTACAGAAATTGATTCTTTCACTTCGATGGGTATACAGTATTTAAACCTTTCTCTCCATTGACAACCATATAGGCCTACCTAAATTATGGTAATATTTTTTGATAAATAAAAAGAAAGGTTCAAACATCAAGTACAGTCCGTAAAGTATAGTTTACAACCGATAAACCTAGTTTGTCGACTGTGAAAGTATGCTTAGCTCATTTTTGTGAATTTGGCGTGCCATATATATAAGGCATTTTAGTTTCTTCAATTTACTTCCATCATTTTACAATGCATAGTGTATAAAGATTTTTCTATCATTGCAAAACACCATAAATCAAGTCTAATTTCATATCATGTTAATAAACATTGGTATCTATATTTAGATTTAAAAAAAAAAAAGAAAAGAAAAGGGGAAAAAAAACCCTCAACTTAAATTCTGGAAATATGTTATGTTAAAATATGTTTATAGGGTAAAAATTTCCACTTTTCACAAGATCTTTCTGAGAACTTCAAAGAACGTAAAAGGACATTAAGAGGTAAAAATGAAAATTGTTGCATGAAAAGATTTAATTTCTAAGCTTTGTTTTGATACTTTTTGAATTGAATCATAAATGAAAGAGTTATGCTTCATAGCGACAGGATCGGAGTACCTTAATCTCGTATTAAAATTATTATTATTTTTTTTTTAGCTCAGATGCACCATATATATAGCTTATATATACCGTATTAAAAATAGACACAGTGAAAATAAAAGGATTTTTTATGAAATGTGCATCTCTTCAAAAAGTTATTGGTATATTCCAAAATAATTTCAATTGAATGGTGACAAAATCCTAACAATAGATATCAACATAAATGACACACGTAAAAATATTGCGTTTTGACGTTATTACGCTCAACAGGTCAAAAGATTTTTTCTCCAAAAAACTTTCTCTTATTGCTGATAGGCCTGATATGGATGAAAAAAAAATATACCAATAATGATTAACTTTTGTAATTTTAACTTAACCATTTATTTATATACCTTACCAACCCCACAAATTAATTTTCTGAAAAACTTGAGCATATATAAGTTACTTTTCAATTTTCTATGGAAATCAAATGTTGATAAAATTAAAAGAAATGTTGTTACACAGCAATATAAACATGGTGGTTTAAAAATGATTGATATTGGCTGTTATATAAAAGCTTTGAAATCAACATGGATAAGGAGAATTATTAATGAGAAAAACTCCAAATGGAAAATTTTGCTTGAAAATATAATTGATACTAACAAACTAATAAATACAAGATCAGTATGTTTATCAAACTTTAATAAGTGTTTACACAATCAGTTTTGGAAAAAAAACTACATTCAATGCTTTTACTTGTGAAATCCAAGATAATTCTGAAATTACAGACTGGAATGAAAATGTTAAAAACCTTTATGGTTGAATAAAAATTTCAAAATTGGAAAACAATCTGTCTTTTATAAATTGTGGAATGAAAATGGTATTACTCATGTGTTAGATCTCCTAGATGAACATAACAGTTTTCTATCATTAGAGGATCTACAAAATAAATTTAAAATTAAAATAAATTATGTGACATATAATGGTATTAGACAGACAATACTAGCAGACTTAAAGAAATACAATTTTTATAGAAATATATAATGCAAAGACCAATGATTCCTTTTAATATCAAAATATTTATCAATACCAGGAAAGAGATCAAAACCTATGTATGATATTTTAAATAAGCCAGTTATCAAACCTTCTGGTAAAAATAAGTGGGCTAGATATTTTGAAATAACTGATATACAATGGAAAACAATTTATAATCTTCCATTCCTCGTGACACGGAATTGTAAATTACAATGGTTTCAATACAGACTTAATCATCATATTCTAACTACAAATAGTCTCATGTATAAAATAGGTAAATCTGATACTAAGTATTGTACTTTTTGTGAAGATGAAATAGGAAACAATTTATCATTTAATCTGGGAATGTAATGTTGTTCAGCAATTCTTAAAAAAATTCATACTTTATGTCAAGCCAAAGACATTGAATTGAATCTCAATGCAAAATCATTTATTTTTGGTGAAAATGACAAAAATGAAAATTCAGAATACTTCAACACTATGTTGATATTAATGAAGCATTATATTTATAAAGTTCATTGTCAGAATTGTCCATCTATCCAAGGTCTTTTAAATTTATTTAATTCATATTTTAAAACTTTAAAACACACCATAATAGAGAATAAAAAACTGACAGATTTTAATACTTTCTGGCAGAAATGGGTTGTTATACTTTAATTAATTTACCTTCTCTGTATTTATTATCATCAGTTCTTTTTTCAATTTTTTAAATATTAATTATTAGAAAAATCCCTCAAAACTGCACTGCACTCTCTTTCTTTCTCTCTCTCTCTCTTTTTCTCTCTTCTTTTTTTCTTTTTTTTTTTTATTTCATATGGTAAGCTTAAAGAAAACTGATTATGTTTTAGGGCATAATATGTAATGTTAAATCTGCCTCTCCCCCCTCTCTCTCTATATCTCTCTCTCTCTTTCTAAACTTTTACACTAATTTTGTATGTTCCAACCATAATTAGTCCTTTTTATTTTGATTGTACATATTTCCAAAAAGTTTGAATGTTTGTAATATGTAAAAGTTTCAAGTTTCATAAAAAAAAAAAAAAAAAAAAAAATAATGATTAATTTTAAGAATAATTTTAAGTTTTGAATGTTGTATTTATATACGAAACGCTCTTTGAGGCACTATTTACTCCCATATATAAGTATGAAAAAGGCATGTACAATCCCACGCATAAAGCAGATCAACTGCATTGGTATCCAACAGAGTAGGAACCTACGAGCTAGAAACGCAGGTTAAAATTGCAACGCATATAAAATAAAGGGGTGTGAAGAGGAGAAAACTGAATTATTTTTCGAATAAATAAATCTGAATCCTCTAAATTGCACTTCATCGAAAATTCTCTTCATTGATAACTAAAAGTGAGGGAGAGGGTGGGGTCGATTCTCAGGTTCGATTCCTCTCCTTTTTAAAAAAAAAAACTACATGTATAATAATTTTCTTTTACTTGTGACTGTAATACAACACCTTGGTCCCGTCCTCTTGAAAAAAAAATTTAAAAAATCTTTGTATACAGAAAGTATTGTAATATATGCACAAAAATAAATAATTTAAAATATTGAAGAAAACCATGAAAAAGTAATCTGTCGACTGTCAATATCGCAGCTATAACGTGTCTTGGACATAGCTCTAAAAATGTTGCCATATTAATATTAATTTTATGAGGTCTTCCTTTCTTCGTTCATTGAACGGGCTCCTAGTGTAACTTTTTGTGCTTTAATCTATATATAGATGCAGCTTAATTGCTTACGTGATATGTCGAAAATTAAAAAAAAAAAGAGAGTACACGACGGCATTATAGTGAGCATAAGTGTCAAATGCTGGTTAGCCACTTTATTAAAACGTCTCTTATTACTCGGTTACAGAAGTCGGTTACAGCTGCAAGAAATCATGATTTCAATATGAACAATAATCGCCAATTTCGTTTGAAAATATATATACTTACAACTACAACTCATCCCTAATTGTCCCGGAGGTCGCTTGAAGTCGTTCAACAAAAGACGCCAAATGCGACAGTCACTGAAATATAAAGCAATATGAGCTGCATTTTTGAGAATTTTACTTTGCTGGTAAAATATGTTATTATGATTAATCTGTATGTAATCTGAGCCTTTATGATCAATAAAAAAATAATAAAGTTTAAAAATGTTTTAGAAGAAATATTTCTGTACAACCGAATATACAGTATTATATAAGAAATCATTATTGTACAGGACGACGATAATTCAATTTTGCTTTAATCAAAGCGTATAAAAAGTTCTTTCATAGCAAATATGAAGAACAGAAGTCTATAAATGTTCTAATTTTCCGTCACTGAAATAGTTAATTACAAATTTGCAACATTTTTTCCAGTGTCAAACATGCAGCTCATATTGCTTTAACAATCTGCTTTCTTCTCCTAATGCTCCCCCCTCTCTCCCTTTCTCTCTCTCTCTTACCATGTGCTTTCAGGTGTCCTTTAGTCTTCCTCACATTCTCTTTTACTTCTGGAGCCAATGATCATGTAATATTCTAATGTTAAATCTGGTGTCCTTCGGAGAATATATTTCTACATTGTTTCTCTTTGATTGCTTTGAATAGTGGCATTTTTATTGTTGTTTAGTCAAAAAATGCAATTAAGAAACTATATACAGCAAAACTCAGTTATAACGAAGTCACAGAGACCTAAGAAATTACTTCGCTATATCTGTAATTCGTTATAATCGTATAAGAATTTCATTAAACTTATATAGCTGGGGATCCAAGATGACTCCGCTATTTAATGAAATTCTTATGCGATTATATTTCCATTTCTAACTTTTTTTCTCTGTGATAACTCTTTGAAAGTTAGCGGAGTTGATTTCTTGATAATTCTACCTGTATGTAAATAAGGCAAGTCGATATGTTAGGAGCTAAGGAGGCCTAATATGCATGCAAATCTCGTGCGCATCTGTCTCTGTGGCTGACGCTAAGGGGGCAAAATATGCATGTAAATCTCGTGCGTCTGCCTTTGTGTTTGACGTCAGTGGGCGAGGACTATGTCTACATTTTTAAAGTCTAAATATACAGTTTTATTTCACAATGAAATGGAAAATATTAATATAAGGAATCACTATCTAGTTAGTATAGTGTGCCAGGACATCAACGATAGTGCGAAACATGGGATAATTTATGTATAACGGGCTTCTAGTACTAATATATATATTGCAATGATTGGTAAATTATTGAAACTATATTAAATGAAAATACATGTAAATGCAGCTTTTGTACTTTGAGCCATTTAAACTATGAAGCTGGAAACTATGATACCTGGCTTTAAAGTTTAAACGCAATAAAATTATATTTCTTTCTCTGAGCTGACTTTATTCTAAAGGGATAATCAGCCAAATTGTGTAAACCAACGAAGCTGGCTAGATACTCCCTAGCTGCTAAATGTTATTTATAAATTATTCAGAGGAAAGGTCCAGTAAAGGTAAAATCGGAATAGACTATGTCATTATCGACGTTTACCTTAGCCGCTAAATTATTAATTTCTACTTAATCAAAAGAAAAGGATTCATACCAGAAAGGCTAAAATCGTATTTTAGACTTTCGGTCTTATGTGAATTGGCCTGATATGAATTCAATTAAACTAATATTCCTCTTATTTTTGTTATCGATATGAAAACACGTATAGTCAAATCACAGACATCGAGGACATTGGCCGCAACAATGAATTCATAAATAAATAATGGCAATAGTTTATCATATTCATCACATGTTTTAGAGTCCTCATCTCCACAGTCATATCGTAATAAAAATTGCAGTAAATATAAGAATAAAACAAATTTTATGAGTTTGCAGTTTTAGTCTGACAAAAGGCTAAAAGTAATTAAAGAGGCTGATCAATAGGAATTAAACTTTTAAATCGGACGGTCCCACGAAATAGATCATGGGAATGCAGCTGCTACTTGCTTGTTTATGAAAAGATGTATTGGTTAGGGTTAAGGAACCAATGGTAATGAAGTGACCAGAGGTCAGATATTTGAATAAATTAGCTACAACAAATAATATTTAAAGATTATGCAAAAGATTGGAAATTATTTTAAAAGTGCATTAGAAATTTTAAAAGTACTCAAGGTCAGAATAATAGTTTAAAATTCAAATAAAAATTTAAAGTAATTATTGCAAATTTTGAAGGAGTTTAAAATATGAAATAAATCACACCTAGTATAAAATGACTGGCATAATTCAGTGGAAAGCTGAATCTTGACTGTCTTGGTTGCATTTTATACAGGTGAGGTACTTGCGTACGTTTTGATCAAAATTATTAAATTTTCACATGGCTTATTCTATTAACAAGTTAAACTTTTTATATTATAAGTAGTTATATTTCTAATTTAGTATATTTTGTAAAATTATTTATTGAAATTATAAATATTAGAAATAGATTGTTTACTTTAATAAAAAGTGGAAAGCTGAATCTTGACTGTCTTGGTTGCATTTTATACAGGTTGGGTAACATCTCCACTCCCCAACCATGGCCGCCGCTCTGGTCCACAAATTTAAAAGGAATTATTTAATAAAAGGGGTAACGCAATTGAGCCATCCTGGTACCTCCACAAGACAAGCGAGTTTACGCGAGTTCCAGTCAATGATATCATCTGCTTATAGGGAAAAACAAACAAAGAACAATTTTCCTTTTATTTTTTTATAATAAATGGTGGAGAATCCGGGTATCGATCCCGGTACCTCTCACATGTCACGTATGTCTTGGCGTAAAAAACGATGAAGTCAATCGTGAGTTCTATGTATTAAAAGGGTGTAAAACATGTTATAGATATGTGTGAAACTTTAAAAAAGAATTTCAATCTCCCATTGGTTCCATTTGGGGATAGGAAAACTATGGCATGAACCATTAATCGTGGAATATCCTCAATATATTTAAAGCAATATGAGATGCATTTTTTTTAAAAAATGTGATTTTATGATAAACTAGTATGTAACTAATACATTTATGATCAATTAGACTAAAATAAAGCAGAAGAAAAACTTCTATAGGCAATCCAATATACAGTTATATACCGGGGGTAATGAGAAATCATTTTTGAACAGGACGCCAATAATGTGATTTTGATTCAATTGAAACTTAAAGATAGTTCTTTCATCACAAAAATGAAGAACAGAAGTTTTTTCTGTCATTGTAATAGTTATTTACAATTTTGCAAAAAAAAAAAAAAAAAAAAAAAAGGAAAAAAAAAAATTTCCCATTTCCGACATCAAAGTTGCAGCTAATATTGCTTTAAACAACTCCTCTCATTAGTTACAATGAGCTTGGTCGTCAACGAGTCAAAATCTAACTGAAATTCAAAACTATAACAACACACACAATTACACAATACTGAATTCATTATAATAAAATGGTGTTACCAAGCAGAACGTAACAACAGGCAACAGATAATAAGTATCTCACATGATGAAAATAAACATATATATTTTATCGAAGTAATATGTCAGTTCTCAAATATAGAGAATTTTCTATGGATGTGTGATACATGTGAAAACCTTTATGAAGCATCAGTGCAACGATAATACCGCAGTATAGAAAGCTGGTGAAAAAAGATATTTATACCACATAATCGAATAATTCTGAGAAAATGGAGATAAAAAATGTTTAGATGAAACATACTCAACATTTCTTTAACAGTATTGTTATAGGCCCATGTAACAAACAAAAAAAAGTTACAGGAAAGACGCCACTCAGAGTGTCTTAATCATTTGCCAGATAGCTTTCCATTCTCGCCTTAGTTTTTCCATATTAAATGCATATATAAAAGGATTAACAACAGAATTGAAGCAAGAGAGTGTAGCGACAATAAAGAGTTGTTTCTGTGTTAAGGACTCAAAGAAAGAAGCAATAACCATAGGCCCGGTACATAATAAAAGCGCAGCAATGATAATTCCAATAAGCTTCAAAGATCCAAATAACTTCTGATTCATTTTGTTAGTCAGCTGTTCGCCTCCAGAGTTCGATGTGGGCCCAATTTGGTTGGAAATGTTCGACACCGTTGTACTCTGATGAGCATGCCAAGCAAACGTTCTTCTGTATCTTTGACGCATTCGGCAAATTGTTAAACAGTAAAATAAAATTGTCAACGACAACAGGGATATTGTCGTAGACTGAAAATAAATTGCCATAATAGGGTACCGATGGCCAAATACACACTTAAACTTGCAAAATGGTAATTTTTCTGCCACGTGACGTATCTGAACCATAGATAAATTAAAACCAAGAACAATCAGCCAGAAAAGGATGTAAACTACATACTTTCGGTTGTTCTGCAGTAACTTTTTATCCAGGTCAGTTGTGGATATCTTCAGGAAACGATGAAAACTTATGAGAAAAGTTTGGCAAAAAGAAAGTGTAATGCCACTGATGAACAACACACTGGTCATGACGCATGGTACATAATAGGTGGCCCACTGTGGCCTAAACAGTCGGATACCACCAACACACATGCTCAGTCCGAGAACAAGATCACTGACGGACAGACAAAGGACCAAATTGAGGTGTGTGTTTTGGCGAAGTTCTTTGCTGACGATCAGAGTTATAAAGACTAGTGTATTTAGGATGAAGGCAGTCCCTCCAATAAGAAATCCTACAAGGGCTGATATTAAATTTCTCTGTTCCTCATCCGTCCCTTGATTGCTCTCATTCCATGAAGATGCTTGCATACCATCCTTCGCTGTTTCATTGATTGTATAATCAAGACAAGCAGACATCCTATATTCGAAGAATTAAATTAAAGATAATCCAAAAATATATACATGTATATCTTAAATGATATGGCTGGATTTATATTTTATTGCCTTGAAAAGACTTGAAAAATAAAAATCTAACGAAATTTCTTAATAAAATTTAAGATATTCTTTACATACTCTGTAAACTCGTTGACTGGCACACCCTTGGTAAGACAACGGGCTAAAACACAAAGGCAAAGAAGAGCAGGAGTAGTTCTTCTAATCGCATTGTCGATGAGAGGGAGTATGTTATATACGTCTTGTGACTGTAACCCAATACATGTTCACAACTTCTATTGTTAAATTCCATTGATTTTTAATAACACGATACTAATAACAGACATTAATTCCCCACTGATTTTAAATAACATCTACCTACTCTTATATACTGACTTTTAGTTATTGATCAGAGGAAGGGGGGGGGGTCCATAATTTTACTGTTTTTTTCTCCAAATCAGCGGACCAAAAGCCAACCATACAAAGCACATGTACAAATTATGTTTGAAAAGATATTGACTGAATTCCTTTTACAAAATTTTTGTGCTTTAGTGAACTAAAATAAAGAATTTCTATGAAATGGCGAATGTGTTTACTAGGTCATTGAGAATATGCACCAAGTTATTAAATACGAATTAATGTATGTGAACCTTGCGTTATGTAATGAATATATTTTTTTAGATTTAAGTCTGTTGGAAACAACACCACGCACTGAATTAGTCGAGTTCCAAAGCACTTTATTGTAATGTAATAAAAGGCAATATATATTTCCAAAAACAACGAGGCTTTCATTAGACAAATTGATTGGAAAGCCTGTTCAAATAATACATAGATCACATATCAGCAAGGGGAGAAAAAAAGGCCTCTGTCAAGACTATAGTTCTACTGGTTTGTACTTATAACAAAGAAAGAGAAAAGTAGGTGTTGGGCTTGAAATTTGCAACAGCAATAAGTAAAATAGATTTCGTCTTTTTTTCTGCCAAGATTCCTTGATTTAGTTTCTTTTTGTGGCAAGATAACAATTAGACCACAACTGTAGGAAGAGTAGCATTTAAAAGAATTTTGCAAATATTTTAATTTTAGTTATCGTGGCAACATCATTCATCAAAATAAAAAAAAGACAATTATGTATCTCAGTTTGGTCTACTTGCATTATATTAAAATCAGAACAAAACTGTGGGTGGAGTAGCATTTTGAAAGTATATGGCAGACATTCCTATTTTTATTAAGCATGGCAATACCGTTCATCCAAATCAAACACCGATAAAAAGATTTATGTATCTTATTGTAGTCTACCTGTGTGCCAAGTTATACTGAAATCAGATCAAAACTGTAAGAGGAGTAGCATTTCAAAAGTATTTTACAGAAATTTCTATTTTTAGTAACCACGGAAGCACTGTTCATTAAAATCAGAAACTGATACATATGGCACGCCAAATCCACAAAAATTAGCAAAACATAGTTTCACAGTCGATAAACTAGGTATATCGGTTGTAAACTATAGTTTACGGACTGTAAACTATAGTTAACAACGTTAATCTATATTTTACATCTGTAAACCATAGTTAACGCGATAATCTATGTTTCACAACCGTAAACTATGCTTAACATCGAAAACAATCATTTTGCGATCGCAAAACATAGATTATCTGATAAATATAGTTTCACGATTTGTAAACTATAGTTTACAAACCGTTAACTATAGTTAACGATCTGATAAATATAGTTTCACAATTCGTGAAACTATGATTAACAACTCTTATAGTTTATCGGTTTACGATTGTAAACTATAGTTTACAAACGTGAATCTATGTTTATCAACAAAATCTATTGTTAACGCTTTATTCAGACAGATAAACTAAGATTAGCATTCGTAAACTATAGTTAACGACCGTTAAATATAGTTTTACAGATGAAAACTATACTTAACGAATCGTTAACTATAGTTTACGGTTTGTAAACTATAGTTTACAGTCGATAAACCTAGTTTATCAATTGTGAAACTAGGTTTATCTCATTTTTGTGAATTTGGCGTGCCATATATAATTAAAGAATTACGTATCTTAGTGTAGTCTACTTGTGTGCCAAGTTATGATGAAATCAGACCAAAACTGTGGGAGGAGTAGCATTTTGAAAAATTGTTCACAGACAGACAGCTAGACGGACGGACGACGGACACATTACTATTGCATATCTAGGACAGATGATACAAACGAAAAATGAATGTCTGGATTGGTCGATAGTTTTTTGGCCTAATTTCATTGAAAATGATGCAAATATAATGATGAATATAATGAAATTGTAAACCTTCTATGATGTTCAAAAGACTGCCTCTCTGAAACCATCCTTATTAATCTATACAAATATTTTTCACTTCAAATCCCATTTATGCGAAAATTTGACTAAAAATTTAAAAACTACGCGGTGAAACTTGTTCATTTTATTCATTAAAACATGACTCAAGTCGTTATTTTCAATTTTGTTGACAAAAGTTTGTTTGTATCATCTGTCCTTAAGCTCTCCTGGTCTCTGACCAGTAGAGCTAAAAACTAACCTATGCAGAAGACGTCGACATGGAAACGGGGTATTTTTTTTAAATAGAAAATCAACACCTTGCATGACTGCAAATCGACATTAACTCTGTACGCCCTTTCTCTCTGAATCTCTTTTGACATTATAAAACAAGTACTCTATAGATGCATTTTATTTCTCCGTAGCCAGTTTAAACATTTCCTGGGTCTATATCAGTTTTTCAGAAGCAAAAATTTATAGAATGTCGGAAAAGGAAACCCCTCTCTCTTTTTGAAATCATTTTCAAGGCCTTATTTGTTTGGACACTCCATATAAAATTTACGATAAATTTTCATAGAACTTCAAGAGGTAAAAATTCCATATTTTATAGGACAATAGTGTCCCAACACAGACCTGGATGAACGGGATTTTTCGATGTCAAAAGAGTTTTTCTCAGTTACACTTAGATCGAAAAAAAAGATATGTACGAAGTTGCGTCGCCTGGACAAACCATTGCTTACAAAAGCATTACTAATTTATAAAAAACAAATAAAATTTATGATTTGTTTTTTATTCTATAGATAGAAAAGACGATGCTCGCTAGGTATTTCAAAATTCACTAATGTACATGTACCTATTTATGACGCTAGTCCACGAATTTTTTGATACCCCCTCGTACATATGGATGTTATTTCATCCAAGTTCCTTTGAATCACCATACTGAAGTAATTTTCATAATAGTAATTCAATACTACTTATTTCGAATCAAGGCAGGTTTTTAACAAAGATTTTTTTTTTTCGAAAATACTATAACAGAATTTTAAGAAAGTGAGCAATTTACTTTACAGCATCTAGAACTCTCGATCAATCGGTCGGTCTACACGGTCACAAAAAGGAAGCATTCTAAGAGTAATAAAGTACATGTATACGAAGAAATAAAGTTAATTAATTTGCTTTCGAATTTCAATGTTTTAAGCTATAGAAGACGACATATTCAATAACGTGAAGAGTTGACTTGTACAAGCCAAAAGTCTTTCACAAACTTCATATTTTACTTATATATTTTCTTGATGATATAAGACATGCATCTTGTTGAAATTGAATTAAGCCGGAGAAAAAAATCACATGATCTGTTTAAATTTTTTTTCTGAAATTTACAGTTTATGTTTAGAGAAGGAGATATGGTCATTCAATCTGCTATAAATAGAATAGACATTAAATAATTTATATATATTCATGGCAAGGCTTGAAGAAGCTAACAATGAATCATACTGAGATAAGGAACAGTTTTCAAGATCAAAAGTCCATAAAACAATACAAAATAGGAGCAGAGCAAACACGGACCTTCAAAGCATCAGAGGTGGGACCAGGTGCCATGGAGGAGTCAGTATTCCCTGCCGACCGGTCAAACCCGCCGTGAGCTCCTTGTCATGATCGGGAATTAACAGAAAAATCCGTCATCAATTCAGTGTACATAAATAATGGACTAATAATTAGTATGAAAAAAGTCAGTCAGCATTTGACTCCATGAATAAATTGTATCTGCTGACAAGGTCATTGTATCGACCATAGAACTTGATGACTTTAAACGAGACTGTTGAAATTCTAGTTTCATCAACTTGTTTGTCAATAATTTACCTCGTTTTAGACATTGTTCATACGTAGAGCATGGTCTTGGGTATCGAATCAACTGAGATATATAAACTCCGTATACAGGTGATGAAGGTATTTTGCTGCATAAGTAAGGGAAGTTGACAATAGAAAAGTTAAAATCATCACGTTTATCATAGAGCTTGGTTGTTAGATTACCATTAACGCCTTTTTCAAGTAAAATATCCAAATATGAAACAGATGTGTCAGACTTTGTGGTATCTTGTTCATTTTTTGACTACCATCACGGACAAATACCAAGCAGAATCTTGAAAAATAGTATAAAATATAAACTCTTAATTAATCTTATTATACCTCTACTGATTTTTTTCCTATATAAGAGTAAGGCAGTAAAATGTGAATAATTCCCTAGAAATCTCAGTGAATGGACTAATTCCCCCGTGCGTTAGTTAAATGAGCTAATCCCTGCTTCGGAAGCTAGTTCCTCGGTTATCCGTAATCCTCTAGATTTTACTTTTGTATCGGTCTAATATGTTAATGGACTAATTCCCGTGCGTTAGCCTTGAAGCTAATTCCCCGCATTTCGTAATCCCCTATTTGTATCGGAATAATAAACCGTTAAAAAGTATATCATTGACGGAGTTAGCAAGATTCCAGTTCCCCTCGACCAGGACTATTTCCCTCGGCAGAAAACTAAATGTCAATCAAATCAAAGTCTCCAATTCCAGGCTACATTTCAGATAATTGACAGGGGTTTTAAGACCAGGTAAATGTGAAGGGGTGCTCATTTCCTCCTGCTTAGGTTTCATCAAGATTCCATAATGCGGAAATCATAGTATACCACAGGCACCTGAAGTATGGAT